ACAAATATTTAAAAGGCAAATTCGATTAGAGTATTCATTTCATATTTCTCGCAAATTTGTAGACACCTTTATTTAATACGCCCTCTTCGCCACGAACACAAAATAAACGAATTAACTCTATTTTCTTCTAATTATGATTAACACTAAATGGTATCTGCTATAAGAGCTAGCCTTTATCTATACAGGCATACAACTATTTACATGAAACGGCCACATTTGATATGCGCACGAGCTATAGTTTCCTCGACAATAGTGGCACAAAGTCCCACATGACTGAGCGTGCTCCTAAGATTGAACGCTGTTCATCAGTTTATTCAAAACAATAAATAAATAATAGTAATTTTTACCAACCTTAGCTCCAGGATATGATTATTCCTTGACCGACCTATTAATATCCGCAATTCCCGCCAAAACCCTCACGACTGAGTACAATTCCCGCCAAAACTTTTACGACTGAGTCAGTACAGGACTGAGTCCATGTACCGTCGCTTGCAGGATGAACGGTCGTTGATAAAAACATTGCCTATTCGCGTGAGAATCTTCGATGTTTGTCAAGAGCACTTGACAGGTTCTGATCCGATGTTAATCTGTTGAACAACCAGATCGAAGCTTTGAAACCACCAAATGATCATAAATGATCATGAAAAACATTGAACTTTCTCGGTAAAAACATTGAACTTTGTCATGAGAATAGACAATACTTTATTGCGACCGTTCATCCTTAGTGTATTCAGTAAATGAGTCCGCCTTTTACAAATCGCAGCCCGCGATTTGTAAAACACGGACTCAGTCCGCTCCAGTTTCCCGTTCCAGTCCAGTCCAGTCCGTGTTTTACAAATTCAGTCCGCGATTTGTAAAACACGGACTCAGTCCGCGTTTTCCCGGTCCAGTCCAGTCCAGTCCAGTCCGTCTTTTACAACATGCCCTTCAGACTTCAGACTTCAGATTTCAGACTTCAAACATTGGTTCCGAGCTTCGCTAATAGCCAACATTTCTTCTGCGAAGCTGGCTAATATTTAAGGCACTTATTCAGTCAAAGCTATTCAAACTAAAGTTAAAAATGGTCAGAATGATTTAGATTGTAAATGCAGACTGTTGGAATGTGTCAGTGAGTTCTGACAGTTCTTTGCAGGTTTAAAGGCTAAAGTCTGAAGTCTGAAGTCTGAAGTCTGACTGTCAAACATTGGTTCCGAGCTTCGCTAGTAGCCAACATTGCTTTTGCGTTCCTTCTCTTAGAATCACTTTGTTTTTGCTTTATTCTTTAGTTTATACAGTTAGCTACCTTTTTAAATGCATCTGCCGGTTGAGAAACATAAAATCATAGTTAAAATTGTAAATTAAAATACAATTATCAATGATGCTTTAAAATTGACGCCATATTTAAGCCGAGCAATATAAGCAAAACTTACTGAACTTCAGGCGTAATTTTCTCTTTGGCGTAGCCTAAAATCTCTTCAATTTAGCATTATTTTACAGATAAAACACTAAACATACATTTTAAGTTTGTTTGGCGATTGAGAAGCGTTCAGTAAAAAAATAAAAATTTTGAATTTAGTCATAACCTCAAGTGTGTTAACCGCTTGTTATACTTAACTTGATAAATTTACAGAATAAAGTTAATAAATTTACTGCAGTAATAAATTTATGTGGTGTTTCTACAAACAATAGTATTATATGTTTTATTGTTCTCCCTTTAAACCTGCAAAGAACTGTCAGAACTCACTGACACATTCCAACAGTCTGCATTTACAATCTAAATCATTCTGACCAGTTTTAACTTTTAGTTTGAACAGCTTTGACTGCATAAGTGCCTTAAATATTAGCCAGCTTCGCAGACGAAATGTTGGCTATTAGCGAAGCTCGGAACCAATGTCTGAAGTCTGAAGTTTGAAGTCTGAAGTCTGAAGTCCCTTCACGGCTTCCGTACGATTTAGGGTGGTCATGCAGTTAAAACGGCATTTTCTCAAAGTTAAAAAAGCATTTCACCTAAAAAAATATCTGGTGCATTTTCCGATATAATAAGGTATATCTGGGCAAAATTTGAGCAAAATCGATTTTTCAGTCGTGGCCGCGAAATAGCTCATATGTTCGACTTTTACTGACATTCACTCTTAAACGGTCAATATAAACTTATTACTAATAAGTAAATATTGTCAACACCGTATACTAATAATTGGCTAAAACGTACCTGCAAAAAATAATTTTCTAACGAAATTATTGTCTTTCATTTGTGAAGAAATTTATCGGTTTTTGTGGGTATATAGCCGCCCATGCGCAGCTAACCACTATGTGAGAGACTGAAGCGCGATCTTCCGTAGGCTACGTCGCCGGCTATACAATATATTATAGGCATTACCTGAACAATAAGCGACTGTAAACAGTGTGATTTGGACCTAAATGCTTTCTGCCAATCGTACAGCTTTAGCTAAGGTATAGTTTTGTAGGCCTATAGGCTTGTTTACTTGAAGAAATAAACGCTTTTGACGAGCTCTAAAGCTCTTTTAGTCTAGGACCTGTTAATATATTAATCTTCAAACTTCAAAGATATATATATATATATATATATATATATATATATATATATATATATATATATATATATATATATATATATATATAAACGGCAGTGCCGACATAGCTCTAACTTCCGAAAAGCACAAGCGACAGCCTTTCTGAAGTGCTTATAGTGTTTAGAAGGGTTTCTTTTAGGGGTGGTTATTGGAAGGAAAAATTTGTGTAAGTATAATATTTTACAAGAAAATGACCATTCATCACCCCAGGTAAATTGCTGATTATGCAGAAAATAACTAATATACATGGTAAATTGCTGATTATGCAGAAAATAACTAATATAAATGCCACTTCTTCGTCTTCATATGTATTTAGATTACAGTATCCAAGAGTACTTCATTGTAGAATAGTCCTAGAAGAAAAATTGAAAAAATTACTTGCACTTTAAAGGAAAAAACCTCCCACAACAAATTCAGGATAGGAATAAAAACAAATCATTTGAAAGTCACGCGCAATCTTCGCGAAAATTCCTTGACAGGGGGGGCGAATATTTTCACGAAACGTTGTTCGCCACCACAGAAATTCAAGTTTCAACTAAATATATTGTATTTATTGTATTTTATGATTTAAAAATAAAAATTAAAAACATTAAATATTTACGTATTTTTATTATCAATCATAAAAATGCAATAAATATAATATATCCAGACATCCAGTTAGGTTGCTGTGGGAACAACGTTTCGTGAAAATATTCGCCACCCCCTGTCAAGTAGCCACGAGGAATTTTCGCGAAGATTGTGCGTGACTTTCAATTGATTTTTTTTTTATTCCTATTCTGAATTTGTTGTGGGAGGTTTTTTCCTTCAAAGTGCAAGTAATTTTTTCAATTTTTCTTTTAGGACTATTCTACAATGAAGTACTCTTGGATACTGTAATCTAAATACATATGAAGACGAAGAAGTGGCATTTATCGGGCAGAGAATCGGCGAGCCATTAAAATGGCGGCATATGGACGAAATATCGAAGGACACAATATCGAAGATAAAATACACTGCACTGCTCCAAAACTTGGTTGAAATCTCCTTTAGCCATTTGCCATTATGTAAAAGTACAACAACTGGATGTTATTTGCGAGACACGGCGATATAAAGCAAACAAGACGGCATAATATGGCTGAAATCGTGTTTTCGTGGGGGGTAAGTGAAATAAAATATATTATATTTATAGAAAACAGTGACTGTCCTTATGAATACTACAATAATTATATTAAATTAAGCATAGTTTTTCATCCCATGGTAATTTTTTTTAGGAAATAAGGATATTTAATTTCTGCCATGTATATTAGTTATTTTCTGCATAATCAGCAATTTACCTGGGGTGATAAATGGTCATTTTCTTGTAAAATATTATACTTACACAAATTTGTCTTCCAATAACCACCCCTAAAAGCAACCCTTCTAAACACTTTAAGCACTTCAGAAAGGCTGTCACTTTTGCTTTTCGGAAGTTAGAGCTATGTCGGCACTGCCGTTTCAGGGCGGGGTCATTTTCAGGACTTTCGTCCAGGATTCAGGTTTTGGCACATATGCCATGTTGACCGCCATGGTCATTTTACCCTAAAACAGTTGAGATTATCTGTGGTAAATGAAACGCATACAAACTCATATACAGGTCCTAGACTAAAAAGGCTGTTTCAACTTTAGACAAGGGAAAATCAACTTTAGCCGAACATGTATGTTACACCAAACACGAGATTGCGTGGGAAAACTCTAAAGTAATTACCACAAACAATCGCTATGGTCAAAGACTTTGCCTAGAAGCGTGGCATATAAATATGAGTCATCATGCTTTGAATAGGGATGGCGGCGCCTATTTGCCAGAGGAATATATGCATCTCATTGGCAGGTGACGTCATCCCTTGGGTATTTAAGAAGCCACGATCGCAGTTTTAGATCACCCCTGATGAAGACACTAGATTGGAGTGTCGAAACGTTGGGTCTTGATTACAATTCGACTGCGCTTTGTGATCATTTATTTAAACCAGAGTATAGCGAGCGAAACATGATAATTGCTAATGTTTTGGTGTGCAATTTTAACATTTTTATGCTCAAATTTGTTGTGACCATCAAACTATAAATTTCTGGTTTTGTCATGCATAATAAAATGAAAGAACAATTAACAAATGATTCAAAATCACATATAGTTCGACTGTTAAGGCAATAAAAGCTATAGAAACTAGAACAATGTATAAACGAACAATATTTTACTCATAGAATGAGTAACGTATATGTTCAAAATCACATCAAATTCGAATAAATGCAATCCCAAAAACTAGTTAAAAATTTACGCATGCCGAACAAGCACTTGTGCCAATGTTTACAGACCGCCTTCTGGATTGTCACAGTACTATTTGGTTTGTGGGTTCAAATCCCAAAACACTGAATTTATTATTAAAAAAAAATGGATCCAATGGATCCAATGGATTTTAGTTATATAAAAAAAATGGATCGGATGGATCTGATGGATCCGATCCATCGGATCCATCCGATCCATCGGATCCATCCGATCCATTGGATCCATCGGATCCATCGGATCCATCCGATCCATCGGATCCATCGGATCCATCGGATCCATCAGATCCATCCGATCCATTGGATCCATCCGATCCATCGGATCCATCGGATCCATCGGATCCATCCGATCCATCAGATCCATCGGATCCATCCGATCCATCGGATCCATCGGATCCATCCGATCCATCGGATCCATCCGATCCATCCGATCCATTGGATCCATCCGATCCATCGGATCCATCGGATCCATCCGATCCATCCGATCCATCCGATCCATCGGATCCATCCGATCCATTGGATCCATCGGATCCATCAGATCCATCGGATCCATCCGATCCATCCGATCCATCCGATCCATTGGATCCATCCGATCCATTGGATCCATCAGATCCATCGGATCCATCCGATCCATCGGATCCATCAGATCCATCGGATCCATTTTTTTTTATATAACTAAAATCCATTGGATCCATTTTTTTTTAATAATAAATTCAGTGTTTTGGGATTTGAACCCACAAACCAAATAGTACTGTGACAATCCAGAAGGCGGTCTGTAAACATTGGCACAAGTGCTTGTTCGGCATGCGTAAATTTTTAACTAGTTTTTGGGATTGCATTTATTCAAATTTGATGTGATTTTGAACATATACGTTACTCATTCTATGAGTAAAATATTGTTCGTTTATACATTGTTCTAGTTTCTATAGCTTTTATTGCCTTAACAGTCGAACTATATGTGATTTTGAATCATTTGTTAATTGTTCGTTCATTTTATTATGCATGACAAAACCAGAAATTTATATAGTTTGATGGTCACAACAAATTTGAGCATAAAAATGTTAAAATTGCACACGAAAACATTAGCAATTATCATGTTTCGCTCGCTATACTCTGGTTTAAATAAATGATTACAAAGCCCAGTCGAATTGTAATCAAGACCCAACGTTTCGACACTCCAGTCTGGTGTCTTCATCAGGGGTGATCTAAAACTGCGATGGTGGCTTCTTAAATACCCAAGGGATGACGTCCCCTGCGAAGAAGATGCATATATTCCTCTGGCAAATAGGCACCGTCATCCCTATTCAAAGCATGACTCGTATTTATATGCCACGCTTCTAGGCAAAGTCTTTGACCATAGCGATTGTTTGTGGTAATTACTTTAGAGTTTTCCCACGCAATCTCGTGTTTGGTGTAACATACATGTTCGGCTAAAGCTGATTTTCCCTTGTCTAAAGTTGAAACAGCCTTTTGATGTTCTTTTAGCCGTGTACCAAAACTGGCGTTTAGACTGACCCAAATACGACAAAATACTCTGACGACAAAGAGTATTTGGGTCAGCCTAAACGCCAGTTTGATACACGGCATCAAAAGGCTGTTTCAACTTTAGACAAGGGAAAATCAGCTTTAGCCGAACATGTATGTTGCACCAAACACGAGATTGCGTGGGAAAACTCTAAAGTAATTACCACAAACAATCGCTATGGTCAAAGACTTTGCCTAGAAGCGTGGCATATAAATACGAGTCATGCTTTGAATAGGGATGACGGTGCCTATTTGCCAGAGGAATATATGCATCTTCTTCGCAGGGGACGTCATCCCTTGGGTATTTAAGAAGCCACGATCGCAGTTTTAGATCACCCCTGATGAAGACACCAGACTGGAGTGTCGAAACGTTGGGTCTTGATTACAATTCGACTGGGCTTTGTAATCATTTATTTAAACCAGAGTATAGCGAGCGAAACATGATAATTGCTAATGTTTTGGTGTGCAATTTTAACATTTTTATGCTCAAATTTGTTGTGACCATCAAACTATAAATTTCTGGTTTTGTCATGCATAATAAAATGAACGAACAATTAACAAATGATTCAAAATCACATATAGTTCGACTGTTAAGGCAATAAAAGCTATAAAAACTAGAACAATGTATAAACGAACAATATTTTACTCATAGAATGAGTAACGTATATGTTCAAAATCACATCAAATTTGAATAAATGCAATCCCAAAAACTAGTTAAAAATTTACGCATGGCGAACAAGCACTTGTGCCAATGTTTACAGACCTTGTGAATAAGCGCACAATTTTGCGATATAAATCTGTATTTCTAGACCATTATTACTTTTCAAAAACCAGAAGCATGTTTGTTATAAGTAAAACAACTTTGATTTTTTTCATAAAGTTTATACACAACTGCTGGCAACAATGACGTTTAGAGAGTGTGGTATTTTTCCTTTAGACGTAAGACGAATAACGACATATACATTAACCCCAAATTTTATTTCATTAAAGTCTCCTAGTATACTCAATTTCAGCCATTCTGTTCCAATTTATCTCCAGAGAGTAGAAGAAGGGCTGCCGTATCTATCATATTGGATGCATATTACAAACATGGAATGGGAAATTATTGGGTTTTTAGGCCAACTTAGTCAACCCTGTCAAAGCCATGATTTCAGTAGTGCTTTTGACGAAAACATTTACTTAGTACTAATCAAACCATATTGTCACAAAAGATGCTTATCTTTGCCAGGTGAGTGGCAAAATTATACTTTGGTTAAATTTCTCGATTTAGTTCAATTTCAGCACAAATAATTGCTGGGAAATTCCGTCACCACGTTTGGGTTTACCGCGAAATTGTGGCAAAAATAATCTTTTTGCTTTTGCTTAAAAGGCGAGTATTATGTTCTGAATTATGACGATCAAAACCTTATCTAACTGATTTTAGATTTTGAATTTGAATTATGATTAATATTATTAAACTTTTGACTTTAAATATGCTTCAAATATTCTTTTTGAATTGTCATGTAATTGAGTATTCTGAGAAAAATAATTTTATGAAATAAAATTTGAGCCAGAATGAGTTTCAATTTATATCAATTGTTATTAAACTTTTTACTCGAAATTTAAATTGTCTTGTAATTGAGTATATACAAAGATAAATCATTTTATGAAATAAAGTTTAGGGCTAAACATCGTCGTCGGACATCATTGTTGCCAAACCCTTTAAATGTTATTTTACATCAGTAGGATACTATTTTTCAAAAAGTAACAATTGCCCAAAAATACAGATCTTAATTGCAAATTTTCCAACCCAATCTTCCACAGTACTATTCAGCCCCGACCACGGACACTGCTTTTTTATCATTTCCGCCGAAGTTAAAGGCCTGCGAAAAAAACTTCGTGCGCACGCCCTATTTATACATATTAGTTATTCCTTTAAAATGTGGGTACCGATTATACGCAACCCTAGCATAGCAACTTATTAACATAATGTACGTTTAATTTAGAACGAAATGCTGAATGCAAACTTCCGACGACGCTATTATGACCGTACGTCGCTGAGCTTGCTCTACAGAGTGTTTTCATGGCGACCATGTTCAGGAACAAATCTGGATCGAAATTAATACATATTTCTTTTTTTAAAAAGCGAGTTTGCTCCTTAACAAACCAACATAAAAACACTCTAACCCTGGCGGTCTTTTCATTAAAAATAAGGCCGTATTTACACTTAATGCGCTTCTAAATGTCGTACGAACTTGAATCTGAAGGCTTTGCCAGAAACGCACAACCCAGATTCAAATTGCAAAATGGCAACGTTTCGTGCGAGTGTATAT